ATTTACAAAACATGTCGGAACGCAGCATAACCTATTTATTTCAAACGCCATCGCTACAAAGCGGCTATAGCGCCATCTACGGTCACAAATTGTGATTCATTTTGGTTTATAAATTATTATTGCGATATACAGATGGCAATCGTTTCTATAATGTACGTCGATGGTTGCTCAATTAAAACTGACTTCTTCTTACTCACTCATTTGTGTCCTTTTTTTGTGGTGAGCTACAGTATCATTGACACTTTCATTATTTATAGCATACATTATATATATATAGCAAATAGCCTACATTAATGTTTTACCTGAAGGATATCACGCCATAACTTATCAACATTTTACAAATTTGAAATCGAGAATACAAGCGTGAAACATGACATTGATTTTACAAACAAATTTGTGAGGGCTGGTAAATATTACAGTTACCACCCTTTTGGGCTGGTGCAAAAAAAATCTGAATTTTGTGCCCTGCATACCCAGGTTTAATATTACACTATAATATAAGTCAATAAAATTCACAGGTGTGAAAGTCTGGGGCCCATTGTCAGAAACAGAGTTAGTTTGGCATAGTTGATACACATATATACACTAAGAATTACAATTATAATGATATTATTTATCTACCAATCGTAAACCAAAACAAATATTTACAAATGGCATTTGTTGCTTGTTTTGAATATTTTGATGAGTCATGGCTCTCGCGTCTTGTGTTACTCATGTCTTGCAGTGTAGAATAAAATTATGACCGTGTCGTTTTTATCAAATATAATTTATGTAGTTGACCATCATAATATCAGGAGTGTATCAATAGGAGTGAGACAGAGTGAAACCGGCAAAATTCAACATTTAGTAGCCTTAGTCTACCTATGATTTATTGTGTTTACCTCGATAAACTTGAGCTCAAGTCTTGCCTTAATCATTAAAGTTTATCCGTGTCTAATCGTTGGTCTCACAAAAATGACAAATCGGGAGATATCGGTCCAAACGTACAATGTGGTTTTAGAAAGTTATACCGTGAAATCAACAACTGTGAACCGAAACATAAGGGCAATGCTTTTGAAAGCCCTCTATCGCTTAGCAATGCAAACATAGCAAAGAACTAGCGAGGTTTGCTAGGGATTTCGGAAAGTTAAACACACCTTGTTGTTATTATAGGCCATGTCGAATGACAGTAATTACATGTTATGAACAATATTGTTAAGAACAAATAAAATGGATAAAAATACTAAACATGTGAAATTTTTTATTTCTAATGTAAATAGTATCAATAACACCAAGTCGTGTTTAACTTTCTGAAATCCCTAGCAAACCTCGCTAGTTCTTTGCTATGTTTGCATTGCTAAGCGATAGAGGGCTTTCAAAAGCATTGCCCTTATGTTTCGGTTCACAGTTGTTGATTTCACGGTATAACTTTCTAAAACCACATTGTACGTTTGGACCGATATCTCCCGATTTGTCATTTTTGTGAGACCAACGATTAGACACGGATAAAGTTTAATGATTAAGGCAAGACTTGAGCTCAAGTTTATCGAGGTAAACACAATAAATCATAGGTAGACTAAGGCTACTAAATGTTGAATTTTGCCGGTTTCAATCTGTCTCACTCCTATTGATACACTCCTGATAATATCAAGAGTAGATAATAACACAAGAGTTACACACCCGATTCCCGCATTTTTAACCGATTTTTCTCATCAAAATTTGCCACCAATAAAGAAGCAATTGTATACGTTCCTCAGCTTATTATGACCACTAATCACTCACCTTCGTGGTACTGATATTCGTTTACATGTATTTGCTAGCGTATTGCTGTAAATCGTAATCTTGCACGAGCTGAATTTGCACAATTTACCGCTATTGTGTAGAGGTGTTAAGCCAAAATTTGAAGCTATAGTGGCGCCAATATTTAGCAACGGACTGTTTCCAAATCATTCGTGCCCCGATAGGGTTGAGAGACAATCTAAATTTCAAATTTTGATCTAGTGAGGAACTGCGAGACGTGCTCAGTTATTGTGATCGCAACACAAGAAACTGACATACTATCTTACATAAGTAATAATACAATAATGACAATATTCTTTGTAGTAGTTTGCAGTAAGTATCACATAACGCACGCGCAGGTAATCAAGTACATTAAACCCCTATCGGGGCACAAATGATTTGGAAACGGTCCGTTGCTAAATATTGGCGCCACTATAGCTTCAAATTTTGGTTTAACACCTCTACACAATAGCGGTAAATTGTGCGAATTCAGCTCGTGCAAGATTACGATTTACAGCAATACGCTAGCAAATATATGTAAACGAATATCAGTACCACGAAGGTGAGTGATTAGTGGTCATAATAAGCTGATGAACGTACGTACGTACATGTATACACTTGCTTCTTTATTGGTGGCAAATTTTGATAAGAAAAATCGGTTAAAAATGCGAGAATCGGGTGTGTAACTCAAGATTGTGTTATGATCTACTCTTGATAATATATATGCATAAATTACTATGATGTACAATAAATACGTACATGAATTTGTATTTTGTGATCGATCCTCATCCAATCAGCAGGCTTGTGACATCAAATTATGAAGTTCCTGTTATTGTAAGTTTTCTCATAGCTGCGTTGCGTTTCTGTCAACTATTCTCGTAACATTAACATTAATTGTAAGTGCTATCTCAGCATTAACATTACAGGGTTTCCTATACATAAGTGGCGCACCGCCGTTGTAAAAATGCTCGGGTGCCTTAAATGCAGTCTTAAGACATTCAAATTTGTAAAATTATGCTGGGGGCCCCCAGAACCCTCCCCCCATCTCTCCATCGTTATAGAGATGTATGATAACGGGATGAATTTTATGTGAATCTATGCAGTTAAAACCTTCACGTGCAAGAGTTAGCTGCTACTTTAATGGTTATTCCGTTTTAAATGTTGAATGATGCTTGAGATTGTTATGTTATTGCTGAGAAACATTGATTACTACGTACTCATAACTACAACTCTATATCTACTGCGTACTGGCAGTACTGCGCTTTGTTTATATGACTTGAGTTTTGACATTACCCATGATGCTCTGGGAGACACTAGTAGTTGTGGGATAATGGTAAGTGATATATGCCCACAGTGGGTAGGTCAATATTCTCCTCTGTCTGAGGTCTGTGCCTGCGCTTGGCTTCCCATCATGGTTGTTATGAATGCCTCCAGGACTTTAGGCAATGGGGCATAAAATTATCAACTGACACTGCTCCTTGTAAATTACACTTGCACCTGGAAACGGGTGTACATTATGGGCTATTATGTGCCTGTTGTCAATGGTTGCTCCATATGGGACCAAAAAGTGTAAAATAAAGAGTTTGGTATGAATATTGAAAACATGTGGTCAGTTTATAATAACTAGCTAACATAAAGAATTTTTTATTAGGTAATTCACAGACTTCATAGTGAGGATTATTGGTAATTGTATTTGTACCGTGGGTAATATTTTTTAAAGACAAGTTCAAGTTCAGGTTAACTCTAAAGTGATGTAATCAAAGGTTAAGTTTAACCTCGTCTTTTTGTTTACATGACATGACCAAGAGTATCTTGGTGAGAAGGGAGTATGGCTCGATCGAAACATGATATTGAAACATTGCATGCCTTTGTTTACCTATGATTTATTACATGAAACTCATTAGACATTACCTCAAAGTACGTATTGCCCCTTAGATTTCCAGCTGTCTATTTTGACGGTGAATTTGTATGTAAGGCGGGTTCCGATCCGTCCACCGCATCGAGTGCAGGGGTAGAAATTAACTTTCAAAAAGAGGGAGTCCTCAGCAAAATAGGGAGTCCGCAGTCTGAAGTTCAAAACTAAAGATATTAACAACTAGAGCACTCGGAGAGCACAGACCTCCGCCAAGGCAGCTGAATTCTCTATGTGGAATTTGTTATTAATTAATTAATTAATTAAGTAGAAAAATTAATTAATTAATTAATTAAATAATTAATTGGATCCGGATTAGTGCGAGCGTGCAGGTGGGGGAGGACTGTGGTTGCCCCTTAGCCTGTGTTTGCGTGTTTGTAAGTCTACAGCCAGCGCACCTAGCAGGAGTGAACTGAAACGTGCATGTTCACAAACACACAAACCAACACTCAAACATTCACCGGTGAAAACATAACCTCCGCCACGCCCCTGTCGGAGGTAATAACGCATGTGCTTATTTTGAAGATTCATGCAGTTGCACATCTGCCAAATTGTCTTTGAACATTTGCTGGAAAAATACGGTAATTCCGTGAGGTCGTGCTCTGGAACAAACTAGTTGGTTACGGTATATATATAGCAGAATTTTCAGGGAGTCACACGGACTCCTGCATATATGTCAAATCAGGGAGTATTTGACTCCGGACTCCCGTTAATTTCGCACCCTGGAGTGTCCGGAGAGCGATTTCCAGCTGAGCTCGCCAGATTGTCATCAAATGGCAAAGCCTGCTATTTAGCCAGGCTAGTTGCACAAGTTCTGTACAGAATGATACATTGGGATATATCGTTTGGATATATAATTGTTACCAATTTTATAAGCTATTGCATTTTTACAGTATCTGACAATTTTCATGTATGAAGTTTTTTTAGGGGAAATTAATGTATTATGTGTATACATTGGTGAATTACTGGAACCAATTTAAGGACCTATCCGAGGAAGTTGTCTCTTGTTGCCTAAATATAGCAAATTGAGGGCTAGTGTATATTTTTTGTTACATGTATACGTGTGCTTAAAAGTTAAATGTGTAAGCTTTTGCATGTACACATGCTGGTTAGTTAGTGCTATATATGTTTATTGACACAAAATGAATGTGTCTCTAGGTTGTGCTTGCATCGTTGTACGGGCTTGGTAAAGCAAGTAATGTGTGTAAACGGTGATTGTTTTGAAACACCTGGGGATAATGGGCAGGAGTTGCAGCTGTGATTACTGTAAAAACATAGGGCTCCCAGCAGGAAACTTGTATTAATTACAAAGGCAGAGCCATATATACCATCTCTCTCGTACTTGTCAGCTTCTGTTCAGGTGGCTTGCTCCTGCAGTCTTTTAAAAGCTCCTAACTGTGATACAGTGTTTACTGTTTAGTAATTTTAAAAGTAGTGCGAGACTGTTTAAAACATGCTTATGGACTTGGAAGAACCAACAACATTCATTACATCTTTCTCTAAACATGGTAAGCTAGTTTCCCCCAATACTTTCACTAGTCATGGTTTTGGTCTGTTCAGGTTACTTTGAAACAAATAACTCTGACCAGATTTCTGATGCACCCTGTGTCAACAATAACGATGCATCTGATTTCGTTGAAATGCCCGAATGCAATATTGGGTTATGATCTCTCCCCTCTCTTTGAGTGTGTGTGTGTGTGTGTGTGTGTGCGTGCGTGCGTGCGTGCGTGCGTGTGTGTGTTGTGTTCTGTTGTGTAGAGTTTCGAAATTTGAAGCAGAGCTCTATAATATGTAATATACTCACCAGGTAATACCCCGCCCCAAAAAGAGAGTACATTATCTTAAATGAGTAATCGCACAGAACTGATTTGTATATTAATTCAGCGAACGATGCAGTGCAATTTCCTGATGATGAAGTTTGTGCGCATGCACGTATATATCCGTGCTCGCTTGGCAGTAGTCCTGTGTACAAACCGTGTTTATTGATTCCCGCTCCTGTTGCAGTACAGAGCAAGGCGAGCTGTCTGTGCCTTCTCAGGCCAAACGAAATTATTTGCGTGTTTGTGGTTGCATCCAAATAAAGGATATGGTCGGTCGGTGGGTCCGTGAAGACGTATCTTGACAAGACTATTATTGCGAAAGATTAGGCTAGTTCAGTGGCATTTTCACGATCAATGAAACTCGTCGCACGTGATATTCCACCTATAAATTATTTAATATTAATAATTCACCAAACCAATCCTCACAAGTTGCTTCGCATCCGGCATACCCATGCGGCAGGTGTCCATTCTATTACTTGCCATGACTGAGAGGGGAAACCATGAAGGGAGCCGTGTAAAACCCCCTGGAGCAGCACTTGGTCGTTCTGAAATCTGTATTCTTTTATGATGCGATAAAGCGTGCGGTCGCTAGCAATTGCCGCGGTAGCGCGCGGTAAACAAGAAACCAAATTTCATGTGGTGCTGCATAGGTAGCTGGACTTGTTGCGATATGTAGAATATCATATATCTCACCCAGTCGCTGCTGACCGGCGCGTGGTATGCACTTAGTGGTAAAAGGATGATATCACTGATGACTAAAAGCGTATACATGTACGTTGTACGAAAAGCGTATATATATATATAACGTCACGTAGAAGCAGCAGGCATTAGTCATTCGATCGTAGCAGGGCTGTGTGTTTGTGTGCTCAGGCAGTCCTGTCACATGCTGTTCCATTTTTCCTGTCTTGCGTAGATATACCACGTATTGGAATACTAGTATTTTCAGCTTATGCAGGGTTAGAACTTTTACCAGACAGCAACTACTTGCTGCCACTGCCAGGGAATAAGGCAAGCAGCAAATTTTCTTGCCCAGGCAGAATCTTTGGGGCTTCTACTATGGTTTATTAGGAATTTCTTTGCAGAAAGTTGTAACGTCCTTTTTCGTAATGACTCCCGTTGAGAAAGTTATTTGATATTTTATGCATTCTTGGCACACTGGTTTCATACACGTGAACTCGGAGGGTGCGTGATCATGCTACTTTCTATTCAAATTTTGTTTTGCTATTGGCCTGTTGAAATATAATATCCAGGAAACAGGAAACTTCCTTCCTGCATTCTGCAAATCTCTGTGTGTGAAACTGCCCAGCTGTGTGTTTTCCAGTAAGCTTGCTACTCTAAATGTCACCTGCTGCTCCCAACAACAAAGCAACCTGCTGGCATTGCACATCTGAGTTGCAGTAGAAGCCTAGTGTGCGTATACAAGGTGCAAACTAAAGTTGATATCGTGGTGCAAGGTTATAGTTCGGTGTGCACCTTAGTTGGATGAGATTCCCAATGATAGTTTGTGAATTTTCAATGATTCCTTACTGAGGATGGTCTCGGAACAGGCTTGCAACAACCAGTATTGGCAACTTTTAGATGCCCTTACGTTTGGCAGTTTGGCACTAAGAAGAGAAAAGGATGGTGAGTTGTTCTTGAGAAGTTATAGATTACTATTTTTGACTTAATTATTATTTATGTGTGAATCTTGATCTCTCTTATTCCACTATGGTAAAGTGTGTAAATCATTATTATATGAAAGTGGAGAAATAGGGATTTGGGACTACAATTAGGAATACACTTTGTGATCCATTATGTGCTTGTGCTACTAAGTTTATTTTATAATTTTACTAATGAAAGAGCGGTGAATGAAACGTGAATACCTGCCTATCTCTCTAATGTGTCTTGTGCATCAATTAGCACAGATACTGATGCATGTATGTAACCACAGAGCGCCACACATCTTGGTCATTTTAGTCCGGTTGTAATAGTAACAGCTGCCGCAATAGACATCGGATGGTAATTTGGCGACGTGACCAATGGGGGTGCCTGTGTGGCCAAAAGTGCTGAATATGAAGATATAGTATTTCGGCCATGATCTTGCAAGGTAAATGTGACCTGTGTACTTGTATCGATAAAATTAAGCACATGTAATTATCCTAACCACAGTAACTGTTTGTACCGTTTCCACGGGTCCCCGGTGTAAATATTTATCTAATTATATTAGGAATTTTTTTAAATAATATTAGTAAGCACTGTCCAGCTATTAGATATATTCAGGGAAATATGAAAAGACTACATAGCTGATCAGTAATGTTGTTATTTGTTAATATTGTTAGTTGCTAATTGTGCATGTTTTTTTGAGAAAAATTGGGACTACTTACAGAGATGCTGCAGTCTAATTATTGCATATATGTAGACAGTACCAACACTATAGTAAAACAGAACAATATTCTATGATGAAAAGTTTTATCGTTGAGCTGAAGTGATCCAAGGTCAAGTAAAATGTAAATAAATTGGAATGTGTTCTCAATGGCTGGCGATAGGAGGAGAATAGAGTGACTTCGGCAACTTCTGCTGCGCTCGTTAGTGTTGCTGAACTTACTATGGTTCGTGCCACTGTGAGAAAAAGAGACACTAAACAGTCAATTGTGTCCATAAAATGTTGTGCATTATAGTATTCACATTCCTATTATACAGATTCAAAAGCATTGACATTAGGTGAAGCCTATATAGTAGCAGGGTTCTTGTTAACTTTTGACAAAGCAGGTAATTTGACAATGAATAGCAGGTAACTGTTTTTCCGGCACGGACGGTAGGGCGAGTGGCGAAGGCGCGAAGCCCTGCTAGGGGGGTCCGGGGTGAAAATTTTTCTGATTTGACCCACAAATAGCGTATTTTGATGGGTATGGGTTCTAGAATTTGGTAGTTTAGATAGGAAAATATATGCTATTAAGTATCTATTATAAAAAGAAAAACCCGCCCGTGCACAGAGTTAGTCTTGGGTTGGAAGTATTTAAAATAAACTTCGTTTTTTCAAATATTTTTTTTATATTTTACCGCCTTTAGTGGGAGTTTCTCTCAAATTGATAGCCGGTAACAAATTGCGTGATAGGCGGTAAAAATAACCGGTTACCGGCTATTAACAAGAACCCTGAGTAGTATGTCAAATGCTATTATATTTAGACTTTTTAAGATGATAAAAATAAAGTGATTGTTTTTTTGCATGCAGAAATAATTAATCTATTTAATGTTGTGGTTGAAATCAGCTGATGAATCATCTTGGTTTGGTGATGGAGTGCAAACAGTCGTAAACAAATGTGTAATGTCTTTTTTATCAGAAAAATCTGGTGGATCGGTGTGAATGACATGATTATGTAAACAAGAGTTTCTGTAATACGTCAAAAATAATACCACATATTAGTGCAGATCCACCTGTGCAAGTCTATGGTGGTAGGCAGTGGCGAAGTTCCTGAAACACTCCAAACGTCTAGGGTCGTGCTAGTTTCTGATAAATTTCAAAGGACTTTGTATGCCTGCCTATAATGTTAGGTGCGACACAAGCCATAGTGACTGTGCAGTGTGGCTACCTAATGCGTGACCCCATTATATTCAGCTGTTAACGTACAGTGCAGTTCATTGGAAAGGGCTGTTCACATTTAGGTCATTGACATTTTGTAGACTCAAAGTGTTTGCGGCATGATAAATGCAGCTATCTTGAACAATTGTTATGCCAGTAAAAAAAGTTTGTTTCTAAATATTCTACAGTGTTGTAACTTGTAAGTGATTATAGCAGATATTTTGGGAAGAAGCTTTGAATCTATTTGGTTGTTATAAAGCAATCAATCATTGATTCTTAAACCAAATTGGTGTTTAGTTTACAAGTTTTAACTAGTATGAGGGTAACATAGTATCAGAAGTAGATAATAGGGAACTCTAGGGTCCCTATTATCTACTTCTGATAGTATAGTATATATCTGACAGCAATAATGTACAAAAATTGCATTGTTTACAAGCCATTCTCTGCATCTAGGTATTTCTATACATGTAAAACATGCTAGTTTAATTGTGATGTCCGATCAATGAAAGTTACTCTCATTGTTTGTTTTTTCTGCACGCTGCCACCTGCAGTTCATCTCCACTTCAATGACGAAGCTGCGTCCACAGGTCAGCAACGTTTACTAACAACCCTCTAGCTCTGTCTGTGTCTTTAACTGTATTTTATATCTGTATCTATCACTGTGTTTCTTTCTTTTCATCTCTAACTATCCCCCCCCCCCCCCTCTCTCTCTCTCTCTCTCTCTCTCTCTCTCTCTCTCTCTCTCTCTCGCTCTCTCGCTCTCTCGCTCTCTCTCTTTCTCGCTCTCTCGCTCGTTCTCTCTCTTTCTTTCCCCTACCTGTTAGTTTGTCGGTCTCACCCTGGTTGTGTCTGTATGGATGCCTTTCTATTCTCTACACTCCCTTGCTTTTTGTCTAATTAACTAACTCTTATTCATGCACAATCGGCCACCCCCCCACTTCTTCCCCTTTTCTTGTGAGTTATCGTTTTCCCCACCTATCCTGTATTCTGGACCAAGACTAGCACTGGCAATCGGGCAATAAGTACAAAATATGTTGTTTTTGCATGTACCTGGGGCCCGTTGCCAGAAAAAAATTAGTCTTAACATTAACCTTAAACTTAAGTTTTTCTCTTAAAGCGTTGCCAGAAACTTCGTAAAGTTAAGAGAATTAAAAATTCTCGTAACTTTTCTCTTAACTTAAGAGATCCTAGACCCTCCCTTAACTTTAATATTAAGTTGAAAATAACACATTTACACTACGAATTACAATTATAGTGATATTATATTTTATAATAATGAATAAAATGTTTGTTTTTCTTGAAAAACACGTCAAAATCATTAATTATCTACCGCTAATAAAACAAAACAATACATTTATAAATGACGTATGGCATTTGTTCTCTTGTTTCAAAGGTTTGCAACGCTTGCCACGATTCTCGTACAGTGTGAGAATTTGTCTTGTTGTGCAGAATTAATTCATGACCACGTAATATTTCATCAAATATTATTTATATGTGTTTAGCCATCATAATATGCATAAATTACTGTGATGTACAATAAATGTGTATGAATTTGAATTTTGTGATCGATTCCCATCCAATCAGCAGCCTTGTGATGAAGTTCCTGTTATCGTAAGTTTTCACTTAAGTAAGTTTAGTTTAAGTGGTTTCTGGCAACGCTATTAAAATTAACCTTAACATTAACATTAGACTTAAAATTAATCGTAACTTTACGAAGTTTCTGGCAACGGGCCCCTGGTCAATATTCAGAGGTATGCGGGTTTCTCTTCCCCACTTCTCTAATGGTGGCAACAGTGGTATAACTCAAGAATGGTGGCACTCGTGTATGGCATGCTATTTGGGTTGCACTGACACCTTGAAATTGGTTATAGAAATGACAACTATAATGAAATATATGAATTAAAAAAAGCCAAAGGGCAGATTCTAGATTCCACTCCAGTATATTGGTCTAAAAATACAATGAGAAGTGTACTTTAATTGGAAACTTATTATGCCTTCCAGAAAAAGGAGCAGAAAAGTAGCCGTAACGTATGACACTGGAAAGAGTTAAAACCAGATGTTTTCATCAAATGTGTGAAACCGTGTAAATGTGTAGTACCCCTTGTTCTGCAGATTAGTGTTATTTTTTTAAAATAACAATCATCGCATAGGCAATGCAAAACGATTTTGAGAAGGTCTCACCCACACTATGTACAGTCATGCTGCTGTGAACTTGCAGTGTCACAGACAGCTTAAAAAGATTAATTTCTTGCCACGCATGTGTACTGTGTCACAACAAAGGTGAAGACTGGCCACGTAGTTAGCAGAGTGCAAAAACATGGGGAGAAGCCTGTAGGAGGTTTGCCTGCAAGTTGCAACAAAACTAGCAAGGTTTTGTCTAGAAAAGGTGCGCGTTGCTGTATTTTCAGTTCACATTAATGGTATTAAATGAGGTGGTATTTTACCACATGGTTTCAAACAGGATATTTTATTCAGTGGGAAACGAATTGCTGAGTTTGCTCGCGCCTGGTTTGTGAAGGTATATGGCTGCATACTTTGTGAAATCGTAGTAGGTCAACTATTGCTGGTCGTATACACACGCATACACACGCAGCAAGTGATTGAAGTTTTATGTCATAGTCTAAATTCTCTCATAATTATACTCCCAGTATGTCCTGGACATTACACATTAATTCGTTATTTAGCCTGTGGATTTTTTCAGAATGCTGTAGAATGATCATACCTCATTCACACCATTGTCATTGGCTTTTAATGTAGAAATTAATATTATAACAGACAGACTTGACCTTTTTGGCAGTTTATTTATCACTACTAATATCAGTATTGTATTGCACTTATTTAAAAAAATTGTCTCTCAGATGATATCTCCGAATAAATTAATGTTAAAGAATGGCAGCCATGTATCTTGTGCTTTGAATGTGTACATGTGTAGCAACCTAGAAGTTACAAAAAACCATAGAAAATACATATATACAGAATGTAAACAGCATGCTGTAGAGTTAGTCATTATTTATTCAGATTTGGATGTTTCTCCATCTTTGTTCAGCAAGTGATGTTATTGCCACCCACAAGCACCCCAACATTTCAGTTCATGCATACATCAACTGTCATAGTACATCATGATCATCTTGTATGGTGCATTGGCATATATACTGAAACAGTTTTAGTATACCTATGTGTGTCTTAGTGATCATAATGTATGTTCTATAGATAGTACCTCGTTTTCTCTATGTTTAGTGTGCGTTTATATGCATATTATCTTATACGTGAAAGTTTAACACATTTATACACATTGGAAATTTTGCATGAGAGTGAATGTATATGAATTTAGACTTCACTCAAAGTCGTATATGTAAATAGGTTTTTATTTACCAAGTGATCGCGTGCAGTACACAACTTTAAAGCATAATTGAAAGTGCTAGACAGTTTTCTTTTATTATTAGTTTTATTACACAAACAATGTACATGTTTACCACACTGCGCCAATCCTGGGGCTCACTCGAGTACTAGATACACGTGTGTTTGTACTTCTGTGTATCCTGCAATTTCTGGTCTGCTACAAGTGGTGGAAGGGTATTTATGTGTGTGTGTGTGTGTGTGTGTGTTGTGATGTAATATTAATTATTGACGATTGATAACTTTAGAAGGTAGCCATCATCGCAATATTAGAAGTGAGCTGCCAATGTTTTAGCGAGGTGCGAGGTGCAACGTTCTGGTATTCTGATTGACCACACCTCATAGCTGTTCACTTGATTTGCATGGAAATTTGTGATCTGTAAGTTGTAACAAACAGTTCTTACAGTTGATACTGATGCCAATGTGTACATTGCCTGTGTTATCCAGGTTTCAGTAGTATGTACCATTTGTTTTCCAGTGCTGCCAGCAACACGTGCATTTGACTATGACCTTGTGAAACCGATCATCCGGGCATTTGATTTTGATCGTGACGTGATAACGTTCATGACAACTAACGGTGAAAAATGTAAGTCGGCACATAATTTGATTTTGTGCCACAATGTGAGATAATTCTGTTATAGTGTAAGGGTCACTTCAGCTGCGGTCCACTGCACTGGAAATACCTGTGTAGGGAATGGTAGCATTTAATTGTTTTTACTATGGTAAAATTCATCAATGCTACCAAAACCTGTGCAAGTATTTTCTGCTGTGCTAAGCAGTGACGCCAATCCAACAGGTTATTGGGTTTGGCAAAGTGGACTGAGCTGCAGTGTCTTTTGCATTGCTATTAAATGATTATCTCACATGGTGCCGCCCAGTCAAAATATTGCTGACTTGCGGATGGGTAGATGAGGCTCGTCTATAGTGTGTCTCGTGGTGTGATGGGAATGGCATGCGCAATGAGAGTGTGCTGTATCTTTCACACCACCAAGAAGGTGGCAGACAGGATGCACATGTGTAGGTTGTGGAGACTCGACAGCGTGCGTGCGCATGGTTCTTTGTCAGTTCTAAAGTTGCTCTGTTTTTCAGGTCCGCCGGGTCCGCCCGGCCCTCCTGGAGGCCCACCTGGACCTCCAGTAGCCCAGGGACCCACGGGTGCGCGCCCACCTATGCCCCCACAGGCTCTGGCCCCTGTGTTGCCTTCACCGCCACAGCCGCCAGAGTTCACATGTCCTCCACGGCCCAACCACGGCACAGAGGGACGCCCTATCCTGCTGAGGGCGAACCATTTCCAGATCCGCATGCCCCGCGGCCATATACACCATTATGACGTTAGCATAGTGCCGGACAAATGCCCTAGACGAGTGAACAGGTGAGTGAGCAAGACATTTTATTTAGTCTCGTCGTGCAAGTAGTTCTTGCTAATGATAATAAAACAAGACTGTAGTTTAGCTGCAAGTATTGTAAATTATATAATAATATGTTATATTATTATATTGATATATTTAATTAATGATGTAAGTTGTAAATATTGTATATGATGTGTAGCATGACGTGTGTATGCTATTGTTGTTGACACTAGTATGGCACTCGTAATGTTTTACTTTCAAAACATTGGACTACATGCTAAAATGTAGTTCTTGCATGTATTATTGAAACTATTTTCACAGTAGTTATATTCTAAACTATCTTCTATTATGCTTGTTCATCCACTTATAGTAGCACATAGATGTATCCTGCTGTACAACCTGAACTAGCAGTATACTGTCAAGCTCCCTCATGTATGTGCCCTTTAGGGGTACATTTATTAAAAACAAATAGACTGTGACGCTGTCGGACTTGCAGTAAAATGTATGCAAGGTTTCATGCATGTGTACATACTTGCACCTTCGTATATGTTTTATTTACTAGTTAATTCAGTTTATGGAAACAAATTGTTTGGTAGGAAGTCAAGTATCATATGTTGCAAATGTAATTGTTGTAGTACTAACTTGATTTGAATTTTAAAAGTGTAAAATTAATTGCATTTAAAAAGGACATTTGATGGTGGATTGTATCTTTACACATTCTCAAGTTGCGGCCAGCCAGACAGTTGAATACATGGTAACTATTTATTTCTTACACAGGGAAATCATCGAAACGATGGTTCAAGTCGACACAAAGAAGATATTCATTGGTCAGAAGCCAGTATTTGACGGAAGGAAGAACATGTACACACGCGACCCACTGCCAATTGGCAGAGACAAGGTGAGAAGTACAGATATACTACTACTTGTACTATACAATACGTTCGATACATTGAAGGATTTTGGAGGAAATCAGCTTTAAATTGATTACTCTGGGAATATCTGTTATTTATTGTATCCCCCGCGACGAAGTCGGCAGTCATACTATGGTTTCATGTCTCCCCAGCCGCCGCCGCCGCCGCTCGGTCCGCCGCAGAGAATTTCCCTTCCGCTCTCTAACTCGGCCCCTAATTGACCTAGCGCTATCAAACTTGGTATACTTACACATCTTGGGGAGAAGGTGTGTCGCGTGCCAAAACCAGGTCACTACGATCTTTATTTGACCTTTACTTTGACCTTGATCATATTTTCCTTCCGCTCTATAACTCAGGGCCCCTAATTGACCTAGCGCTACCAAACTCAGATACTTACACATCTTATAGAGAATGTGTGTCGCGTACCAAAACAAGGTCACTGCGGCTTTTATTTGACCTTGACCTTGATCATATTTTCCTTCCGCTCTATAACTCGTGCCCCTAATTGACCTAGCGCATTACTAAACTTGGTATACTTCCACATCTTGGGGAGAAGGTGTGCCGCGTACCAAAACTAGGACACTGCAACCTTTATTTGACCTTGACCTTGACCTTGACCTTCATCATATTTTTCTTCCGCTCTCTAACTCGGCCCCTAATTGACCTAGCGCGATCCAACTTTGTATACTTACACATCTTGGGGAGAACACGGGGATACATGTAGTTGGCGACAACTGTCCTTTCTAGTTATATATTTTTTCATGCATGTATATCAATTTGCAGATTGAACTCGAGGTGACATTACCAGGTGAGGGGAAGGACAGAGTCTTCAAAACATCTCTCAAGTGGGTGGTACAGGTTAGCCTGTATGCCTTAGAGGAAGCTCTGGAGGGTCGCACACGAACTATTCCCTATGATGCCATTCAAGCTCTGGACGTCGTCATGAGGCATCTACCTAGTATGACGTAAGTGAGGGGTATATATGGTGGGCAGCAAGGTAGGAGTGTGGTAGGGAAATATTTATTTAGGCATCCGGGATATTACTGCCAATTGAGAACATGGTTCGAGTCAACTATTTTGTCAGAGCCACTGTCCTAGTTAGCTGATTGCCAAGTGAGTTGCTTGCAATTATGTGTGGATGAACTTTTCCCTATGGGCTGTGTATATAAATGGTTAGTTTCCTTTGATCAAATTCCCGTTTGAAATATGTTCTCAATATATGTTTAAAAAGTAATGTGGCACAATACATATATATCAAAGCACTGCATCATGTATAAAAACAGTGTTCATCAAAAATTAAATGGTCTGCCATGCTGTCTCCTACTGATTTCTGTCCTTGCTCTAAGTCTGCACTGTGCAGGACATGATAATAACGTTTTTTGCGATTGGCAGGTACACCCCAGTGGGTCGATCCTTTTTCTCCCAACCCGAGGGTTATTACCACCCCCTTGGTGGTGGTCGAGAGGTGTGGTTTGGATTTCATCAAAGTGTCCGCCCTTCGCAGTGGAAGATGATGCTGAATATTGATGGTGAGAGGCATTCTAATTTTGTGTGACGTAATAATTGATTGTAAGACCGGTGAAGTAACATTTCCACTGTGTATGTTATGTTCTGGTGTTGACGAGATTTTTGTGTGAAAGAATTAAAACCATATCATAGGTAATTAGGCGATTATGTTCATCTGTGAGTTTGGTATTTGAATTAAAACGGGCATTTCTTGGATTGCAGTGTCTGCCACGGCCTTTTATAAGGCGCAACCTGTGATAGAGTTTATGTGTGAAGTGCTAGATATCAAGGACATCAGTGAGCAAAAGAGACCCCTTACCGACTCACAACGGGTCAAATTCACCAAAGAGATCAAGGGTAAGTTTTAAGGAGTTTTAATGATCCCCAGGCATTGTCGGTGAAAAATTATACATAGTTGTTGCAAGACCAGGATGACATTGACTATCATGATATTGATTATATTTATAATCAAGTTTGTTTGGTCACCTGTAAATTTCATATTTAAAAATGTAAGTGTCAGAAATTCCACAAAGAATGTGTTCCTAGCTTCTTGGAAAGAAAATATTGATTCTATAAATTGTGCAAATCTGTTAAAAACGTTTTACAGTACACTCAATTTTTGGGCCATTTAGAATCATAGACGGCAAAAAACAATGCATACCTGCTTACAATGCATGTAATTATTCGATCAATTACTTAAAGGAATAATAGGTCCATTGATTATGCAATGTTGACGAATACTAGAGTAACTGGCACCTTGTGTAGTTAATAAGTACATTACCTTATAGCAAAACGTGTATTAATTGATTGATTAATCGATTGTCCAATATCACTGCTGGTTAGTAAGAAATGTCTAATTGAAATCCGCAGTCCAAAAATCAGTTGTTTACAGTTTCAAACCGCTGCCGGCGAAGCGGGTGTGATACAGATTTATAGTGCACTGGACATTTTCGCACGCATGCTCGGTCGTACGCAATGCTATCATTCATCAGTGATTTCGTAAACATGGACGCTCGTGATAAGGAACTTTTTGTCAGGGCTGTCCACATGCGTCCGTGATTAGTACGTGTGTTTTACTCTATTTCCATGTTTAGTCCGTGGCCGTGGTTACACCGCTGACACCTCCGTTTCATCTGGCGTCCAAAACATACGGGCCACACAAATGGATAACATTTACGGCACGTAAATGATACGTTGATAAATATCAACAACCGATTTCAAGTCTAGTTTGTAATGTAAGCAGCAGTGATATTGGACAAACTAATACGCGTTTGGCTATAAGGTAATGTACTTATTAACTACACAAGGTGCCAGTTACTCTAGCTTTCGTCAACATTGCATAATCAATGGAGTTATTATTCCTTTAAGCATAACCGATGATCAGTTGCCTGGATGGCTAGAGTATTGTCTGATCATTGTTGCATTTTTATAGGCCTCAAGATCGAAATCACTCACTGTGGACAGATGAAAAGGAAGTACAGGGTGTGCAATGTGACAAGAAGGCCTGCTCAAACGCAGACGTAAGTACCATCAGCAGTTATCTTAGTAATATAACACATCTCTATCCATCTACAAATCAACTCCCCTACATGCAGAATCTTTTAGAGAACTCTGGTCCCTGTCCTGATGTCAGTGTGAATTTTGAAAAGTTTGATAGCACTCGGCTGATGTAGTCATTCAGTCAGAGCAGTATGTTCCAACTAGTTTTTCTTGGTGCACAGGTTCCCACTGCAGCTGGAATCTGGACAGACAGTGGAGTGCACTGTGGCTAAATACTTCTTGGACAAGCACAGAAAGCGCCTGCTTTACCCACACTTGCCCTGCCTGCAGGTGGGCCAAGAACACAGGCACACATATCTCCCACTAGAGGTAAATCTGCTATAATTCTATTATTAGAGGCAAAAGAGAAGCCCTTACGCATTTAAAAATCGTACTTTCGACTAGGGATAAAATAAGCCATTGCTAGCAAATTTGCAATGCCTGCTTTGTGCAATATAGCCTGCATAGCAGACTGCAATATCTGCACCAGGCTCTGCGACAATACTGTGCAGTGGATTGCACCAATCTGTACGATAGCTTATTGTCACGATGCAGCCCTGTGGCATGGATCTTGCTCTATGGAATTTGCTCCTGCTATCGAGCTATCATGTGTATTGTTTCTGCATTAATCATGCTTAAAGTCGCGAGTCTGACATTATTTTATCGTACAGTTGTTAGTCGCTACTGCACAGGTTGTATATAACAATGACTCGTTGATTAAGCGTTCTTTTCTTCTGCGTGAAGATTTCTAACCAGTGCTCGCGGATTCATGACCTTTCAGGTGTGTAACATCGTTGGCGGCCAGCGCTGCATTAAGAAGCTGACCGACATGCAAACATCAACTATGATCAAGGCAACAGCGCGCTCGGCTCCTGATCGTGAGAAAGAAATAAACAATTTGGTACGAAATGTGTCATAGTCTGCAGTTTTCCGATGCCTGAGCAATTGATTGCTCGTACAAATAATCGTTGTAAAAATATCGTAAAGCAGGTTATTATCTTTTGTGACTTGCTGACATCGATTTGCCATTGTGTGTATCTACATGTGCATAATTTTAGTCTTACGTTATTGTTAATATATAATTGTTTAAATTTATTATAAATTCAAACAGGGTAAGTAGTAATTCTGATGTACTTTACGTTTACATGACAGTTACGGCGCACATTCTTAGTGTTACAGCCATGCACAGTTGGTATAGTTTCGATATGAAGTAATTAGTGTGTACATACTCAGACTGGATGGCAGTACTGTGTCCTGGGTTTAAAAAAAATTCTGTGATGTATATGTCAAAGTTTCATTCCTCAATGATTTACCTTGGCAGTATAGTGCATGTATTGAATTGGTACTGCATCTGCATTATTTGTTTCATTTTCCTCAAAATCTAAGCCCAATATCTGTACCATATTGTCTCTTATACCCTATAGGTCATAGTACCTGTGCAGTCATGGACTACTGAGCTATTGCCTTGCCTACCAATCTGCCAAATTCCATAATAATAATCGCTAATTAATTTAGAATTCTCTTCACTCCGTATGTATACTTATTTTGTAGGTTCACAAAGTTAATTTCAATGAGGACCCATACATGCAAGAGTTTGGCATTAGTATCAATAGTACGATGACGGAAGTCAAAGGGCGTGTACTTCCACCACCAAAAATTCAGTATGGTGGGCGGGTGAGTAGAGAGGGGCTTTGGACGATTTCAAGCTTTCTCAGTAGGTACTGTAGACAAAGCAAGACGCTAGGGTGCACCCTGCCGGTTGCAGCTCTCTTGCTAGAACACGCCCCTGTGTGACATATCCATGTTTTGTTTTAGTTGTGTATTTGTGTTTACCTGTGTGTGTGTGTGTGTGTGTGTGTGTGTGTATCAGTCTGAAGCTATCTTCTATCATGATGTTATCTCTGCATAGCAACCAGTTTTAGTAGCTGAAGTCTGTTCAACAGCAGCAGCAGCAGCAATAGCAATAACAACTTCATTTTTATTTCGTCTCACTTCTCTCCTGCGAATTTGTGCTAACACATTCATTGTCTGCTTCTGTCTTTCATTGCTCTCTGTTTGTTATCCCTGTGTCTAGTGCTGTATAGCACTGCATGTCCAATGCAGTAGCTCATCTCGATCCACGCCAGAGCACAGTACTGCCATTGTACGGCCGTCCAAGTTGCGGGTTGGGCTCCAGCTTTTCCTTCTTGGTGCCAGAGCACAGTACTGCCATTGTGCTGCCCTCGTTCTGCTGCCATATAACGTTGTCCTATCTTGCGCACGGTTCTTCTCATAGGTGTGCAAAGCTGACTTCAATGTCGACACCTACGTGCAAGACTTTGGGATTATAGTCAGTAGTGAAATGGCGGAGGTGCAAGGCCGAGTGTTGCCACCACCAAAGCTGCAGTACGGCGGCAAGGTTAGTAGCGCGACCCCCACATGGCCAGTCGTGTTATTCCAGTGGGTTACCCTCCTCTCAGCCAGATCCAAAAGGAAACCGGCAGCGCAGCGGTTGCTTTTCTGTGAGTGGTCTTTACAGCTAACCAACGCTAACATGCCAGCCAACGTTTGTTCCCGGTGATGGCACCGAGCGAATTCTACACGTGGTCTGGCAGTTGTTCGTCTTCGACGCCGAAAAACTGATGCGTTGCATTTTTGCAATGCTCATATCCAGTTCCATATGAGTTGTGAGTTGTGTGAGTTCCACCTAGTGAGTTGTGGTGTTTTATCTGTTATTTCCTGCATGGTAGACATAGATGTGCATGGTATATGCAGTGTGTTGCTTAGCCAAACCTATCGCTTGCAGCCTCCGCTTGACAGATTATTTTTTGCAGGAATTTGGTTTCTGTAGGACGTCTATGTAAGTTTGTTGTTAATAGTAGCTTTTTTATACAGCATATGGATATACACATAATATATTACTTGTTTTAAATGTCTCGAATTTCAAACGGACAGCATATAAAATAATATGGTTCTTAAAAAATGTTCTTCTTACTTCACTGAACCTTTTGTGTCTTGTGAATTCAATGACCCTCTGCTTTCGTCTCTTGTGAATTCAGTAATTGTGACTGGTTGAACCAGTGTTGCTATTGTACCGAGGCAGATTATCACCTAAGTCCTCTTAGTCTGGATTCCAGACAAAGCAGCAGGCCATCCCTAATCAGGGGGTGTGGGATATGAGAGGTAAAGAGTTTCACACTGGAGTGGAGATTCGCACCTGGGCCATCGCATGCTTTGCGCCACAGCGCACATGCAGAGAGGAGGCACTGAGGTTAGCACTTGTATCGAATTGTATGTAGTAGATATTCTAGAAGTCCAGAGTCCCTTTCAATTCGAATTGGATGAAGCCTAAGATATGGATGGATGTTATGAGCACGTTGAAGTGAATCCCGTTGTTTTCAGTCGGTTGAAAAATAATACAAATAATTTGACGAATAAATCTCGGATACAGATAAGTAGTTCGTTCGGGTGCGCAGGGTTTCTCTATAGGGAAACCGTTGTCTCGTTGTTCAGGAACTTCACCGCACAGCTGCAGAAGATCAGCAACGATGCGGGCATGCCGATCCTCGGCCAGCCCGTCTTCTGCAAGTACGCGACGGGGCCGGAGCAGGTCGAGCCGATGTTCCGCTACCTGAAGAACCAGTTCCCCGGCCTGCAGCTCGTCGTCGTCGTGCTGCCGGGCAAGACTCCCGTCTACGGTACGTGCACGTGGGCGCAGCGGCCGATCCGGCCACAATTAAAAAAATCTTTGTTTGCCCTCACCCGACTCGGGCTGAAAAGTTTGGCTAGGGGGGTCTTTTTTGAGGGGGTCTTTTTACAAATTCAGCATGGTGTCTACATGCTCGGGTGTGCTTGTGTGGAGATACGTTTTATGTTGAATGTTTGTTTTGCTTGGTACATAGAATGTATTGCCTACAGATTTATATAATGTACAGTGATACAATTTGTAAAAAAAAAAGAATAGGAAAGATTTTTTTGAATAAAATTGTTCGAGTCGGCTCCTTTTTGGCGGGTCGGTCAGGTGAGGGCAAACAAACAATATTTTTATTATGGCCTCAGAGATTACGCGGTGGGTGGGGGAGGGCACCGTACTCGAGCGGATAACTTATGGGAATGTTTTTAGCTCATCTGACGTAGTTAGATGCAGCTTGTAGAATCGCATGATCGTCCGTCCGTGCGTCCGTCCGTGCGTCCGGCCGTCCGTTCGTCAACAGTTGGGCACAAATCTTAACCGCTCGACGTACGGTCACGATATTCGGCACATCGGGGGGGGGGGTCGTCAAAACGAGTTGGGATGTCGAAGCTGGGGGTCAAGAGGTGTAAAAGAAGGGGGAACATTTACTCCTTAACTTAAGGTATAGGGAGGAAATGCAGAATTGCGGCTGAAATCTAAACGGCTTGACCTAGGCTCGTGATAGTCTGTGTATAGCATCATGGTAGGAAAAGCCATCACTGTGCCGAAATTGGAGGTCACAGGTCAAAGGTCAATGGGCACAGGGCAGATTTTATACATTTTCTGAGGACATGGTCTGACGGAGCGATTGAAAAACTTTTTTGTTTCAGCGGTGACCTAACATTTTTATGGCTTTGTTGAAAGGACCATGAAATGTACTTTCCGCTGACATGCGAAGAGTAAGTGTCAGATAACCTTTTGACTCTCAAGAGGAGGGTTAAACATGGATTTGTTTCTCAACTGCGTTGGCGAGTACCTGTGGGTGTGGAAAGCTCCCATTTTACAGTGAAATTTCACACATAACTCTTACTTGAACAACGCTTATTTAGGAGATAATGACATGACTTATATATATAAGATTCTGTAGTGTACATTATAAATAGTTGGAATACAGTCACTAGCACTCAAATAATTACCCAGTAGTGAGGCTGCAGATTTCCCAGACTTAATTTTCTCATCAAATTTTGGCACCAATATAGACGCAAGTGTGTACGTTCTTGAGCTTATTCGGTCCACTAATCACTGGCCTACCTTGTACTGAAATTAGTTAAGAGATATTTGCTATCGTATTGCTGTAAATTGTAATCTTGTACGAGCTGCTCTGCCTCTGGTTGTATCAACCATTGAGCTATTTTTAACGAGCCAGATGTGCCTCGCAAGGGGTTTAATGTACCTTATTACCTGACACCATAGAACGCACGTTATGTATAGTAATAATATGGTAATTATTCGCTCCTGCTTTTTGCAATCCGTCGTCAAAATGACAGCTGCCATTGCTGCAATGCTTTTGCTGACCGATGCAACGATGCCTTTGATAGCAGCCCGCCATCTATCGGAATTTTATTACACTAGTTTGAAGTGTTGTTTTTTGGGGTTAGAAATGAACGTATGTATAGGACGTCTTGCTATGCACAAATGAATTAATCAGCAGAACACCAGACACCAGATGAGCTCTGTCGCTCTGCGGCACTTGTTTGGATCTTAAGAACTGTTTTGTAGTTTATACTTTTTCTCTGTGTTCTCGTATATTTTTTAATAAAAATTTTTGGGGAAATTTGTGCTGTGAGGTACCAGCTTTGCATTACGTATAATATTGTGTCTTATTAGGAATACTAGTGGGGTGAGAAGCACTGCGTTTCTATTCATGACAGTGTGGCCTGAGCATGTACTCAATAATAAATGTTTTAGAAAATGTAGGAATCTGTTGGAAAAATGTTGAATTTAATCTTTCATTTAGCTGAGGTGAAGAGGGTAGGTGATACTGTGCTGGGTATGGCCACTCAGTGTGTACAAGCCAAGAATGTCAACAAGACATCGCCACAGACGCTGTCAAATCTGTGCCTCAAGATCAACGTGAAACTCGGTGGCGTCAACAACATTCTTGTACCAAGCATTCGGTAAGCCATGATCATTGCTGTCTACCAACGTCCACCACTGATCTCTAATAGCAGTTGATATTGAGAGAGTTCTGCAGCTGTCGCTAGCTGGGAGAAGACTTGGGCAAGTTGATTCAACTTGGCACAGTTCATTCGTACATTGTCTTCATCGCTAGCACTAGCATATTACTGCTCGACAAACGGCTTGGTATTAGGCTAAGAAACAGCGATAAAGCAGTTTGAACGCAGACCCCTTATTTCCATTTCAGTCCTCGAGTGTTTAATGAGCCAGTGATCTTCCTGGGAGCAGACGTGACCCATCCACCTGCTGGCGACACCAAGAAGCCATCGATTGCGGCACTAGTGGGCAGCATGGATGCACACCCTAGCAGATATGCGGCCACCGTGCGCGTGCAGCATCATAGGCAGGAGATCATCCAGGTAAGATGTTTGCACGTCTGTATGTGACTGTTTGCGTGTGTTTACATACGTGCATATTTTCGAGTGTTGATGTCAAGATCTACATGGAAGTGAACCATCTTAATTATTGACATGTATTAATTAATAGGTAGCTTGTAGAACACTATCAGTTCCAGTTTCCAGTTTATTTGAAACTCTGGTAGAGAAGCAACGTGTTGATAGCTACTATTAGAGATAGTATGTACAGTTATGAGCTCAAATTTACTTCTATTACATTATATAGTCTATTCCCAGGGTGGTTATAACAATTATTTCAAAAACTTGTTGGTCCCCTGCCTCATTAACTGTACCGTTATACATAGCATTAATGTCGCGCTCGTCAATTGTTTCTTATTGCACACTTCACAACGACGCTCCCCTGGTGTGTTTTTGCAGGATCTGGCATCAATGGTGAAGGAGTTGCTTGTTCAGTTCTACAAGGCCACAAGGTTCAAGCCTACACGTATTGTCTTCTACAGGGACGGAGTCAGTGAAGGCCAGTTTATGCAGGTCAGTGTAATGTCTCTAACTCAAATATTTATTACATCATTTCTAATGGTTATCAATATTTACTTAATTTTCATGTTAACATTACTACTAGTTCATGTTCTTACTAGTTATATAGTGACATGTGTTAGTGACTGCCTTATTAGTGAGCTTATATTGTTCATGCAAGAGCTCATAATGGGTGGAGTGAACAAGGATAAAAAACAACAACTGAAAAACCATGTCTTGGTTTTAGCAGAGTTAAGTAACATTATGCATATAGTTTATAGAAAATACTATTTTATTTTTAACCAGCGCTGTTTGAGTGATTCAACAAGGCCTGCAGCTTGTCCCTGCCGTGATCCTCGTTCATTACTCCTCATTCATTCTATCGCAAAGCAACGTGTTGAAGCAACCAATGAATTTTAACGAAAAATAACAGTATCAGTTATTGGCAGTGTCTATATGTATTGTAGATGAGAATAGACAAGTAAACAGAGCAAGCTGTTATGTTGCCACAGTTACAGCCTGCTTCCTTGCTTATGAGTAGGGGGCCACTGCTGGTAGATTGCGAGACTATGGTATCTATCTGTGTACAAATGCTTGTGATATATAGGTTGGTGCACCTTTACACACATCTAGGTCAGCTCAGCCAAGCTCAGGAATGTGGCAGGGACAATCGATTGGCAATTAACTGATTATTCACTTAAAAATAAGGGGGGCGCATTTGGTTCTAGCTTAAATTCGAGAATATAAATTTGTTTATTGGTCGTGTGTGTCACGCTGTCAGGTGCGGTGACGGTGTGGTTAACTATGCGTTGCAGGTTCTTCAGCATGAGCTGCGAGCAGTGCGGCAGGCCTGCATGTTGCTGGAGGTCGGCTATCAGCCGGGCATCACGTTCATCGTCGTGCAGAAGCGCCATCACACACGACTGTTCTGCGCAGACAAGCGGGAGCAGGTGAGTGTTCATAATCGCTCTGTGCGTGCGTGCGTGCGTGCGTGCGTGCGTGCGTGCGTGCGTGCGTGCGTGCGTGCGTGCGTGCGTGCGTGCGTGCGTGCGTGCGTGCGTGCGTGGTGGTGGTGGTGGGTGAGTCGCGTTGGGTTTTAGTTTGCTTACGCAAGCCCACCTGAGTTTAGCCACTGTGTCGGGGATTACTTGAGGTGAACGGAATAATGAATAGCATCAATCGAGGATTGACATCAGCATATGTAATTTATATTGTAATTTGTAATTTGCAGATTGGTCGCAGTGGAAACATACCTGCGGGCACGACGGTGGATGTGGGGATCACCCATCCAACAGAGTTTGACTTCTATCTCTGCAGTCATGCTGGTATACAGGTGAGAAGTTCAGGATGATTATGCATGTTACCATAGCTTCCATTTCCTTGCTCTTACATGTTTTATATTATCTCGGTTCAGCTGTGTGATGGCTTCAGTTTTTACATATTGAGTACCAACAATGTGTGTAGGGTTGTATGGGAAAAATGCAGCCCGAGTACACACGTGCTAGCTACTGAACAAAATGTTTGATTTAGTGCACTGTAAACACATAGCTGCTATAGGCATATCCATCTGCATGACATTCTCTTGTGCTTGATTTCTGTTTGTTACGAATGTGTTTCAGGGAACGAGTAGGCCGTCACATTATCACGTGCTGTGGGATGACAACCACTTCTCAGCTGATGAACTGCAGCAGCTCACCTATCAGCTGTGTCACACATACGTGCGCTGCACGCGCAGCGTCTCCATTCCAGCTCCAGCCTACTACGCCCACCTGGTAGCATTCAGAGCACGATATCACCTTGTGGAGAAGGAGCACGACAGGTGAGCGTGATTCATTGTTTGTATTTACTCGCTTGGTTCAAATTTGATCATATCGCGGGTGATGTTGTAACATTTGTGGCGCATTTACCATTCGTTTTACTGAGTGCTAACAAACTATGTCTTTGTGTTATTAGCTCCAAGTATTCGCCAGGATACAGCTCTGAAGATGCATCTGAGTTGTAAGTATTAGTTATTATGTTGTCGCCTATTTGTGTTTTCATTGAGTTTCATAACGAAACTAATCTGCTCACCTGTCTACGGATTGCAATGGCGTCTGTCTAACAGACCATTTTATGTGTTCAGGGAAATGTAGTTTTGTAAGGTAATTGACAGCCGCACGTTTGCAAACTAAAAATGTCCACCATTGTGCAACGAGAAAGGAGACCGACTTGACATAACACTAGTCATTACCGCCTGCAGTGTAGCTGGCGCCACTTGCTGTGACACGCAACGTTGTCGGTTTTTTTTTTTTTTTTGTCGCTGTAATGTGTCTTGACCTTATTGCTGTATGTGATTTCTGACTTGCAGTGGGGAAGGTAGCCATCAGTCGGGAAGCAGTGAGGACCGGACACCGGCATCGATGGCACGTGCCGTGCAGGTGCACGTTGACGCTGGCAAGGTGATGTACTTTGCCTGAAGTGCTTCAGCCGGCCCCTAGCGACTCCTGCATGGAGCGCAGATATACGATGCGCGGAGAGAGCGTGCGAAATCCATATCTGACGACACGGACGGATGAAGCAGCAAGAATTGGTATTGTGACCTGAGTGTTGTGAGTGAGGAATGTGTGTGTGTTATGGTGTGCATTGTTGGTCGACTGCCGTTTTAAAAATGAAATTTGGCATCTTAATTCCACATGTTGTATATGTATGTGATAGTTTGTGTGTACTGGGTTAGGAGAATGCAATAAACGGGGTTGAAAACTGTGGGATTGCCCGAAACTCCCATATTTTATTCAGTTTCCGAAAGCGAACCCTAACCCCTTTAGCAGTTTTTCACTATTTTTCAATAATCATATATCATGAGGCCTGTACTTTCTCTCCTTGGCCTTTAGTCTCCTCTCTGGTGCATGTTGGCATTCCTTGTACTCTGGGAGCTCAAATAGGCAAACGTGATATGGTCAAACTGTGGTCAGCGTGTCAACGATTTATCTTGCCGAATCCTAACGATCATAGACAATGTGGCAGACTCCCATTCACGACGGATGCACCAAATTCTCTCAATGTGCAACCAGTCTACAAATTCAAGAGATGAAATCCAGTGCGATGCAATCCAATCCAATTGCCAATGCATTTAAATCTGTGGAAATCGCTTAGCAGTAAAACTGACACACTCTTTTTGACATTCTGAGAGGAGTCAAAGCTGCAAGGTCAAGGTCGGTCAAGGATCGGTAATATAGTTGTTTAGATCTGATCTCTGCAGAAAAATGGCTGTGAAGAGTTTTAAGTATTTTATTTTATCACATCCTATGATCATGAAGTGCTGTCTTTGACTCTACAATCAAGTTCCGTATCGAAGGCTGTGACCTCTACTTGACCTCAAATGTTCCCCACTGTCTTGTAATGGTAATAATGGAGAAGGTATTAATATAAACAGAGACTGATATTATTTTTACTATAAAAGATCGGTTGTAAGGATGTCCATGAGACATGAATACTGTGCGCAAAGTGATGTTGAGCGATTATGGGTAGGAATAGATTACTGATGGCACAATGTCTTAGGCCTGCCATATTACTGTAGTCATTGTGGACCATTTGTTTTAATGTCACGTCGGGATCGCGTATAAGGTGAACAATGCCTGCAGTGCCATCAGAAATATGTAGCAGATTCTAGACCACTGAAGGTTTTAATAACTCTTTTGACATCGGCATTGCTTAAAGGAGTTTTTTGTGTAGGTGTGTGGAGAGCTGTAGCCAGCTGGTTACTTCAATTACCATTCAGGCGTGGCTCTAGCACCTGTGTGTGATCTCGTGTATGAATCATTGTAATGAAGTAATTGCCTAGTTTGTAGTCGATGGCAAGATGTTGAAAATTATAATTTTGTGCACGTTAGTGTAATGTATCTTGTGTGTGTGTGCGTGCGTGCGTGCGTGCGTGCGTGCGTGCGTGCGTGCGTGCGTGCGTGCGTGAGTGTGAGTGTGAGTGTGAGTGTGAGTGTGAGTGTGAGTGTGAGTGTGAGTGTGAGTGTGAGTGTGAGTGTGAGTGTGAGTGTGAGTGCGTGTGCGTGCATGTGTGTGTGTGTAAATGCGTGCAAGGCTGTCTCGTGGTGGCTTGAGCTTCACGAAACGGTAGCTAACGTGTTTCATGCAGTTAATGTGGGCTGTTTGCCCAACATTTCCCCACTCCGAACAACCCCCCCCCCCCTATTCCTCAAACCGAACGGATTAGTAATCGTAGTAATCTCGTCTAATCGACGAAAGTAGTCTCGTCAATAATCAAGCGTGTGAGCGTATCTGCGTCTAAAGAGTTGCATTTCATTGTAAAAATACAGGTATATATATATACAATCCAGTACAGTGTCACTTGCTAGCTGTGCGAACCCGTAACAAGCCATATTTGCATCGTGAGTGTTCATGATAGGTGACTCTGATCATAGCCAGGTGATAGTTTTCGCCTACCGAACAACATACGATAGCAAACTGTATAAATGATGATAAGTAAACGATTATGCACTTTGGAAAACTTGGTGGACACTGCATCGTTGTCAGTCGTATTTAAACGGTTTGTAGAGACAGGAAAGGTGGATAAAGCGAGTTCTGCTCAGCGAGCTCTGCAGTGAAGAGCTAGGGCTGTCAGTGCATGTGTGTTTGGTAGCCAGATGGTGTCTCCGTTCCTCGATGCATTGCACTTTTCGAGATGCGTCTCAGGCTTGTGGGAGTGCGGACCGCCTCACGAGCTTCTAGGTAACATTGTTACATATCATGCCTCGATCGCCACCTGCTCTTACCCCACATATCAGTGATAAGATCTGACGATTGTTTTGACAGCAAACGATATTTATACGATAGTTGATGTTTTGGTGGGTAAAATCACGGCGAATAACTCGTAATAAACCACTAGTTAAGTAGGAAGAATCATAAGACGAACAAGTTTATTGCTAATATAATGTGTCCAGTAACAAGGAAGTGATATATATTATGTATATGTATACAAGAAGGAATGTGGACGTAGAGCTATCTAGTCTTGGACGCATGCACTGTTCTGCCAGTCCCTGTCTGTATATCAAGCCAAAAATTAAAATGCATGCAATCGGTGTTTTTTTCAGTCGGAAGTCTGTTGGTGTTAACTTTGTGCTTTCCCACCATTAGGCAACGTTGAAATTGGCCGAAATTTTCGGAGGTGAATTAGCCATGTAAATCACTTAATCAAATTCAATAAGGCAAGTTATCAATTTTACGAAAAGTGTTACTGTTTTAATTTTGTCGTCCTTCTAAATTGGCAATAGAGAGAAGCGCATTCACTGCTTGCTATTTATTCCTGTACTAGGAGACTCAAGTTATTGAGTGAAGCATTTAATTAATGGGCACCGACCAAAAAGGGATAGCTGTGCGTTCCACCTTTGATAAACACCAAGCTGGAAAATATTTCCCATATTTATTGATATAAATTTGCTGATAATTGTATAGTTACACGCACTAGCCTATAATATATCATTTTATCATCAACTTTTAACCCCCTCCCAACGAACTTAAGTGCGTACTCTTTTACGTTGTACATGTGCGGTTTTAATTTGGCTGCCTGTGCGCGCATACTCTATTGCACCCAACTGTAGTTCGCCACATGCGCGGATTCGGGCACGACCAAGCCAGTCATAGCATCTCAAAGTAACTACAAATGAAGTTTATGTCTCCGATATTGTGCCCTCTATACAAGGTGGATAGCCCCAGTACTGAAGTCCAGTACAGTATAGTACTTGAATGATGTGCGTGCAGGCTAATTTTTTTAAATAAAGACATAAATAACAGAACATACACTAGGAAAACTAGTTTTCGTTTATTAACAGACTGCTTTAAATTTATAAATTTCCTAACAACGTAATCACCAGATCATGAAAAATCATTTCAGAGATGTCAGTATTTGCTGATGCGATCGATCATTCACCATTTTATCGAATATTACTGATATGTACATCTAATGTGTGCATACAGTCGGTAGGTCTTAGTGATTGGAATATATTTTACACATGATTGTCTGGCGGCATGGTTTGTCTTCAGTGGTTAGTGCATATGCCAGAAATGAATGTTTTATCTTGCATAGCATAGTCATGTTTTAGTTTCGTTGTTACAGTCGTTTTAATATTGGTGATGTATACTAGGTCACACACTATAACGACAGTTTTTGGTGGCAGATTTTTTTGGGGGTGACAATAATTATAACGTTTCGCTATAGAGTTGTGTAATCATGCTGTAAATAAGGAGGCCACAAAAATTTGTTGTAGAAGATTTTTTCAGGACCCGTTCATCGTGACGTATATAATTTCACCGTGAGCATGTGGTCACGTTCCGAATTGTCCATACGAAGTATGAGAAACGAGCGGGAGAGGTTTGCTTGTCGCCAGTTAGGTGGCGCTGTGTGTTCGTTCCACGTCTATACGCGCGGATAGCGACAAATAACGCGCCGCGATGATTTTAGTCGGTAGTGGTGCATTCTACGCGTGATATGTATAGTATACCTGGTCACTCCGTTCTGGTGAATTACACGGGTACTCTGAACATGCAGTACCCCTGTAAGTTTGCCAGCGGAAACACGTTTGACTTGTGTGTGCCGCTGTGTTAGGAGGAGGTAGACTGTAGTATGCACCCGATGTTATAGCGAGGCTCGAGTATGGGCGGACTGTTGGATGAGTAGGCGGAATGCTGCATATCACCTGCGGATGCTGTGTATCGTAGGGATGGAAGGGGGGGGGGTCTCATAGCACCCAGGTACTGTATTGTGTGCTTGGACAATAGGAATGTGACCAAATGTTCTCTTTCACATTTATAGCCACTGAGTGCTCGTATATGCCGTTCGGCATATTCCAATGAAGAGCCGGATATTCATTTCATTGTCAGTTTTTTCAGTATTTTTACATGGCTTAACAGTAATTTGGAACTGGCCAGCTCAGATTGATACGTATACGCATCTTCTCAGAAACTAGCGTCTCTCCACGAACCATGTAGCTTTTATATTTGCGATTGTCTTGATGTGTTATTCGGGGGCAAAATTATATACGATAGGTTGGATGGTGAGCATTCCTTCCTTATTAAAAATAGCTCGTTACAACGTGAAATACTGAAATACGTTAAACACACACGCACGCGCACACGCGTATTGATATATATATATATATATATATATATATATATATATATATATATATATATATACATACACACACAACTGGTAACAATATTGTGCCGTGTAAATTGGATCCGACCAGGATGTCGCAACTCGTACACAATTATAAATAGTCGAGGCGCCACCTACTGCCCTGGCGGGAAGTCTCGAATGTCCCGACCTCTGTTTGACGTGTTGTTGGTTGAAAGTAGACGCAATGTTGATCGTAATAAATTAATAAATCGATTGTTCTTATATATTACACAAACACAATCCACATATGAATGTTTACTGCCTTTGGGAAGTGCGATTGTCCAGGGTTCAGCCTGGTGGCAATCGTCATTTGAGTCCGTCACCGGTATTTTTGATCACACACAAAATTCGTTGAACCTGTTCGTAGTGATATTCTACTATTCTAACAAAACGTGCCTAAATTAACGAATCTTTTCGTTTGATTCTTTTAGCTTATCCGCGCGCCTATTCCCAGTTGTAATTAGTCCGCCCTTTCATTTCATCTCTGTCCACTCAAAACCAATAAAATCAGCAATACGCAGAGGCGGGCGGGGTAGAGTTTGCTATTGATGGCAACAGAATTTACGCAAATATTGCTATATTTGTTACTGGTTAAAGCGTTAGTTATAGAGCAATATCTATATGATCGATTGTCAAGTGTTGTAAATTTTGTAGCAATATTTCTCGATTATTAGCAATATAGTTGTAGAACGCAGCGTGCTCTATCGTTTCGTCCTACTTGTTGTGAATTTCCCCCCCATTTTAATCCAGTGTGTTCTCGAATGGAAGCGTGCTGTGACATTGCCACTATCTGAGTCACATAATCAGCGGCGAAGCCCCTCTGTTCCGAATTGCTGACTGCGCGCAACTGTGGCCTTATCGTTGCTGTCGCGGTTTACTAGGAGGCGGTCCATAAAATGGTACAATCGCGTGCGAACGCAGAACACGTCGTTACGAACCAGTCGACGTGTCACCGCGTGCAGCTGAATGGCGCGACGCACGCCAACGTTCTCCACGTGTAATACTGTCACGGTAACTGTGTTCATCAACCTGCCCTCTATGAGTGGGCCTGCTCACAGTCGAGGGCTGCCTTCACCACAGATCGGTCATCCCAAATATTTATGACGTGCAGGTTCTGTATGCACGGAGTGGTCGTTCCGCACGCGTTCCTCTGATGAGCCGCAGGAACTGTTTGTAATGGTTGTCTTTAACTTCTTCGTAGTTGAAGACATAGATGTTTAGAAATAAAATCACCCGTGTAACTGTACGGACTGTCTACGATTTTTTTTATTGTACTATACGCTGCCTTTTCATACATTTTGCTTGTATATTTTTGCCGTTTTTTTACATGCTGCAAGTACTGCCCAAGTAGTGTAGTATATAGTACATCAGCCCACGTGGAGCGATCGCCCAACTATCATATTTACATAAAAACCCATGTTTACTGTAATTATGCAAATGCACCAGAAATAACGGACCGAATTAAATATGAGCGGTAGGAGAAGCGTACAAATATGATGATAATGCCGTCGGATCTTTGATCTTGAATAATACACCACGCTATAAAGTTCGTTTGTTATACACAAATTTAATTAGACGTAAACATAATATTATATACGGCATCGCTCGCGTTTTATTAACAAGCGCTAATTTTTGGCATTCATTAGCTATACCATTGCAAGAAGGGCCCGCAGTATAATCGTATTAATTATTGAATTATTAACCGCGTCACGTGGAGGTATAGCGATACGGCCATTAGGTTTATTACTATTTTAACCGTTAATTCGAAGCGGCATTGTATATTATAATATTGCTAGCGCGTGTGTTCTGCGCTCAGTCTTTCTACCACAAATTTGGAAATACGGCGAGTATTGTACACATGCGCTTTGAGCTGTAGGCGATGAGAATCGAGAACGCAACAACAGAAAGAATGGTTTTTACAATAATACATACATTTTATCAGGAGTATAGTATCTACTCCTGATTTTATATAACTGCATCTATACTTACTGACTGTTCTGCTTGTAAACGAGTTTACTAGTTAACTACTGCTCCTAGTTGTGTCTGCATGTCTTTAGAGATTTTCGTAAATTGTAGAACAAGTTTGATACTGGACAACCAATTTCAAATTATATCTACAATATTCGCCATTTCTGAAAGCAAGGAACGAGCACCTATATGATAGTTCTTGACGACTCAATTTTGTCATCAGATTGACGCAACATGATTGTATTTTAAGCATGATTTTTTAATGAAACGGATTTACGCTTCCTAAATAATATAATGTAATCACTATTGTAATACAGGTTCGTTTTAGTAGAAACGTTCGCGTATCAATTACGTGATAAAAAATGCGTATCAAAAACACATCTGACATTAAATTGCGACCGTCTGGTGCCTCCGTCTTTATATGGATACGCACATATACACACATATTCCTATATATATATAGCGAAATTAAATGCGGTAATAGTCTTACTGCCGATCGCAATATCCGTTCTTTCTCCTTATGCGGAATGTTGACGGGTTGGCAGACGCTCACGCAGGTGATGGAATTCCTGCTGTGATAGTCGTCTGCTGCGTTTCTTTGCGGACTGTTGAAACTCACTGCAGCGTGCCTCGTCGCTGGCGTCCGGGCACTGCTCCACCCCGTCACAGATCCAATCCCACCAAATACACACGATATTATCGCCGCACTTTACCTTCTCCGGCGAACACGTGAAATTCTCTGCAAAACAGCACGAGTTGTGACAGTAGTTGCATACCCTAGTTGTTTTTTGCATATTCTGTAGAGCATTACGTATCGCCTGCTATGTATTCCATCAAGAGCTAATAAATACCTAGAAATATAGCCTATATAATATAACCTATAAATAAATACCTATACCTAAATACTAAATAGGTATTTATTAGCTCTTGATTCTATTTGAATGTGATTAATCCAGCGACATATTGTTCACTATATGCAAAGGCGAAATGTTTGTTCGAATTCATAACGGGATTTTATTTCAACATTATTAAACAGGAACCTTAACGGGGAATAACTGAGACTCGTTTCTACAATTAATTCACGGAGACATACGGCAATTCCATTCGTCGCTGCCGTCGGCGCACGCCATGCGACCGTCGCATCGTAACTCCTGGAGATAACAACGCTTCTGGTCAGAACAAGGTAGCGACACGTCCTTTAGGCAGAGCGACCACGGCTCATTCTCATTCTGTAGCTGTAGCATGTGACCACGATCGAACTGCCATGCGGCCCTCCTCTTGGTTTCTATGTAAGTTAACTACAGTATTAGCCTTATAGAGTTTAATTATCGGTGTAAGCATTCGCATCTTCGAGTACGCGCTACTTATGTATTAATGCTGCTAACGAAAACGTGATTATTTAGTATCATAGCACAAGGGTAATAAGAGGGAATAAAAACAAATTGTTTTCTGGTATACGGTGACCGCTAGTACACTACTAATAGTACGCATTTATCATTCACGCGATGGGGTAAAACTTTTACTGTTCATAGTATTTATTAGTAATTAACATATATGATGTGTAGGTGAGAAATAGCATGAATGCTCTTGTGTTTTCGGAAAAGGTCAATGGTCGATAGCTATTCATATGAGCTGCATTCATATTACAACGCGCACGCCGAGTTCGCGCGCGCGCGCGCACAAGACATCCACACGACGCGTGTCAATTATCAATGTATACCGCAGTTGGCCTCATCGCTTCCATCGTTACAGAACTTTTGTCCATCGCATGCGAACACGTCCTTGTAACATTGGTAGCCGTTTGCACACTTCTGATAGCCGTCTATACACGGATGGGCGTCTACATGTAGAAAAAACGGAAAGAATACACAGCATACATATACTGAGCGTAATATATCCATGCTATAAGCGCAATCAATATCTGTTCCTGGACACCGGATCTCCTCCTAAACTCTCTTTGTCTCTCTCTCTGTCTCTCTCTCTCTCTCTCTCTCTCTCTCTCTCTGTCTCTCTCTCTCTCTCTCTCTCTCTAGAGTGTAAAATGGTTATCCGCGTTGAATTATTTCTACCCGGCGGAAAAAATAGTTTATGCCCGGTTGAATATTTCTACTAACCACACACGCCACGCACCACGCCACGGCACATAGCAGCACGCACGACGCACGATCGCAACACGCCACGCACAGACCACAACACACACACACACACACACACACACCCGGACAACACGACACACACAACAAACACCGCGCGCGCGCGCGCGCACGAACTACACGACAGGAGAGAGAAAGAGGGG